TATTATTACTTTTTTTTTCTTTGGGAATTGTGCTGTATTCAACAGGTCGTTATGGGGGACTCATTTGCTAGAAAAGCCAGTAATATCCACTAAAACCCAACAAAATACAACATAACCCCCTCTTGATGGGGCGTCGCAGGATTATTTACGCACTCAACCACGACGCCCGGACGGCAGGTCTGCCGAAGCAGACCACACAACCTAAGGGTTGCTCTCACGGTCCACGCTGCTGTCAGAGAAGTACCAGGAGCAACCCGCATAGCACACCGCCCACCGACGTGGGCCACCGCCTTGTGTGTCTCTTGGTTACACGCCTGGTTGGGTTGCCGGTCGCTAACGAGCCTGTTCCACAACGAAAAGGTGAACACACATCGGGGGTATTTGTTATTACCGCCTCCAAGTAAGATAAACACCTTTTCGTCTATAGAATAAAATAATGGCAACTTAAAGCATAGATTTATTAAAATTTTCAATGAGATAGATACTAAAAATTCATTGCTACTTGTCTGGCATTAGAAATTCACTTAGTATACCTATTAGCATAATTTACTTTGTACTCCATAACAGCTTCAGGCCTATATTGATGTTAGAAACTTTTAACAATGGATTTATAATATCTAGTTAAAACTGTTACTCTGCTATACGTCCAATAAATTCTAGTTTTTGCATCTCCATAAATGGAAAGTACACGGCGGTTAATTAGAACAACATTGCATCTTATAAACTCGAATCGGAAAACAATGATGGAAATTGTTTAATAAGTACAGACCGTGGCATGGTATGGAAATGCGATACTTGTGTATTTACATTTTCTACTGTATTGTTGTAACGGACTAACCTTAATTCTATTTTTCTCATATAAGCTATTAACGTCAAAAAGTACTTATGATTATTAAAAATATTCAGGTCGCTATCGCAAAAGTTTTTTTACACTGTTATTATTAAATGTAGGGTGACACTCTTCTTAAGGCACTTATTATGGGAAAGTAGATAAAGAGTGCTTTGTGAGTCTCAATTCTCTTTTTAATTATCTGCCCTTTTAAGAATACGTTGGATTTTTGTCGACTCATCCATCTGAATCAGACTAAACAATTGTTTGTAAATTGTGGTAAATATAAAATTCTACCCATGCCAGAATAAAACTCGCATGCTATGGAACGTAAGACAGAATTTACGATCCCTATTTTATGTTTCCATCGTTTCTTCGTCTATTTCATTAATATAGCGAAGGACATAATTTCTGATTCAATAAAGAAAGTTAGTAGGTGTTCTGTATGTCATAAACGGAAAATCACTTAAATATTTCAAAGAATTCGTAATAATTTATAACAACCATGAATGTAAAATTACGATCCTGTAAATGAAAGCTGGTTCTTTTCAATAGAGTAGTTTCTGAAAGTATGATTCATATCGAACAATACGAAAGTATTAAGACGTGTGCCTTTCATAATGCAGTTACATAAACAGAGAAATCTGTTTGTACCGGAGATATGGCTAAATTGAGAGATTCAGAACGTACGCCGGAACTGATTGAATTGGCTTTAACACTTTAAAGTAAGACGACTTGCGTCATCGTTTCAACACGCGGTTATATTTTTATCTGCAACTAACTATATTTTATATTCAAAAATGGTCTATAATATAGTCACTAATAAAAAAAAAAAATACTTTATTATAAAATTTCTATGGACATTGTATAGTGTTTGTTTTGTTGTTTACTCAAAGGTTAAAACTTTAAGTATTATTAGGTACTTAGGTACTTTAAAACATAGGCAGTTAAATAGAAGTTTACATATTGCTATAATTTTAAATTAAACTTCTTATTGATTGTGTTTGCCCTTAAGTAGTTATAGAAGTCATTTCTGGCAAAAGAGCATATTTTTGTAGATATTTTTGTGTCGTCTATACATAAAATAAAATTATAACTAAGCCAAATATGTACATTAAATATTTTTTCGACATTATTATCGATACAGAGGCCGAATCTATAGTTTTAAGAATTTTTGTCTGTCTGTCTGTTACCGCATCACGGAAAAAACACTGGAGGTATTTTGATGAAATTTGGTATGATGATAGCCGGTTATCCGGGTCAACATATAGGATACTTTTTACTGCGGGAGAATATCTCATCTCTGAGAAGTCTATATTAAACCTTAATTCTTAAGTAGAGATGAACCCGAGCGGAGTGAGGGTGAGTTATAATATTATGTAAGATAATGTGCATACATAGAAGTGGGGACAACTTTAATAGTTCTTTGTGTACGTTATTAGATACATTTTTTCTTTTGGCGCCTTGTTTATGTAATCTATTCAAAGAAATTTCCCAAAATTCATATTATTTCGTAAAAAGACATTAGAAAACTTAAAATGTCATTCAAGACAACTCTAATTTGCATTGCATATTAAACTTTTTACGATAAAAAAACATTGAATATATGATATAAGCTCCATTTAAAATTGTTCAGGTGTAAAAATTGAAGTTATCTTTTAGGTGCAACCGTGCGTTAAGTATATGATGACTCGTGCTCATCTCTTACGCAATATCGAGCAGACCATAACAACGTGCGTCGGTCGGTACCTTAATAACTTTCACCTAACACGAATTGGTAATCAGTCGGCACGTAATAACCATCATAACTCGCAATAAACCTCGTTGCATCTACGAGAGCGAGAGTGGACACAGTAGTAATATTGTCATTAAAAACATTTTTTTTTGTATAAAATAATACAAAAAAAAAACAATAAATATCCAATAAATATTTGAAAGTACAACGAATGATGTGTAAAAACGCTCAACGAGCGCTCTATCTAGAGTCCTTGAAGGAAACGTAAGGCTTGGACACGCGCTGTTCTAAAGGTCAATAATGTTCAAACTTTTTGTTATTAAAAGTTGATTTAGAACTGAAATAGTATTTCGTAAGCTCAATGATGAAAATTGTTTTTTTTTTCTTTATTCTTTCAAAGTTATATATCATTATAATTGTAAATATTATTTTATGTACATCGCTCATATATACCAGTGTAAATAAATTTGGCTACAATCGATTTCTTTTTTTATAAACTTTATAGCATCTACAAGAATTTTAAATAAATTTTGTTGCATTACATGCAAGGTAACTTGGCGTCAAAATACTTTCGATGAATCACTCAAGAGATGAAAGTTTATCGGTAATACGTATGCAATTATACATATGCTGACTGTGATTTTCTCTACAGAAAAATGTAATCAAATATTGAAATTTGAATCTTATTAATATATGCATAAAGATTCATTACAGTTAATTATCTTTGTATCGTTTATATGCAAAGATATTTTGACATATGCCATATGAACAAAGCGGACGTTTATCGGGAGAGAGGCTTGTGACTTGTGACTCATTAAGCTCACTTTCACCCGTCCCTGAGGGCGCCAGATCACAAAGATCGTGTACAATGCTACTCGCCTTGTTGACTATTCGTTACTTTATGGCGGATGTTAATTAATTTGTTAAATCTATAATAATTAAATTTTACAACGCCTTTCCTTTGTTTAGAAGGTTTATGAAATATTTGTTAAAAGTAAAGTTTGCGATTAGATAGCAAAAACTTGCGATTTTTTTATTAAGGAAAATATTCTGCGATATTGTTAAAAATAATCGAAATGTTTAAAGCGTATAGGTTCTGCAAGGTATAACCTTGCAATGCCCTGTCTTTAGTTGCATTTTGTCTTCAATACATCGTGAATTCTTTGTTTTCTTTTCTTCTTTTCTTTAATCCCGTTAAAGATAGCTTATATATTTGAACAGCACTACCCGCGGCTCCGCCCGCGTGTAGATGACCAAAAACCAAATTCTTAGAATTTACATAGTATACTCATAAATAGTAGTTTTTGTATTTTTTTTTCAGAAATGAGACATTTTTCCGCGGTAAAAAGTATCCTATATGTTGACCCGGATAACCAGCTATCACCATACCAAGTTTCATCAAAATCCCTCCAATGGTTTTTCTGTGATGCGGTAACAGACAGACAGACAGACAAAAATTCTAAAAACTATAGATTCGGCCTCTGTATCGATAAAAATGTTTATTTCAATAAGATTTTTCAAAAAATATTTAATGTACAGATTCGGATTAGTTACAATTTTATTATATGTATAGATGGAAAACTAGTTTTAGTTAGTCTACTTTAATTACCGATTCTCTAAATATCAAAAATAGTATGTATTATTTATACAAATAAATAAAACAATTGTATGGTTTATGCATGCAAGTTCTATAATTAATTTATTAAGATTAGGTACTATCGTGCGTGCGTAATTAACAATCTGTCTACATACAGACGATTACATACGAGTATATTGTTGATGATTAGCAGTATGATAAGGAAATTTCTGTTAATTAATTAGTATAATCATATCAAATATACAAAGAAACACCGGGAAGAACTTGTCTTTTTTCATGTAGGTATTTTGCTCCAAACAGTTTAAAATATTTATTTTAAATTAAAGTCCATAGCTTGGTAAATACTTTGTTATATTTAGTGGTTTTGTCCATACGTAAATGTATAATGTATATATAATTATTATAAACGTATAAATTTTTATAAGTGAGATTTTTTACATTATAATCACATTTTTTTTGACTGCAGAAATAAAAAGAAACTATGCAAATGAAATATTACTTGTAAAATTAATAAAATGTAGTTAAAGTACCATTCATTCATCGTCGTCTTTGTGTTCTGCTTCTTTATTATTTTATAATTTCATGTCTTATTTGTTACGGCTTAGTTATGGTATGTGAGGCATTTACCATAAGTGCTTATGGCACTTCATAAATGTATTTATATTTATTACTGTTTCAAAGAGCACGATTTATTACTTATAATTTAAATACGTAATGTTTCTTTAAATTACAATATTGTCGCCTTTTGAATATTTAGGTACCTTTAATGTTTAATATTTTATTATGAGCTATAATAAAACCCAGTAGTTAAATAAAAAATCGTTTCTTTTTTGTTACAGGTAAGTTGCCGTATATATTGGTAATAATAAGCTACCCATTGAAACTACCTGCTTGTTCAAGAAAATACAGTAAGTTTTTTTATCACCTGCTCTTATTTTCAATTATTAAATAAACATCTTAAGTAAAAAAATAGTTTCTAACTTTACTTTTTAACTAAGGCTTAAAATTAATACCATAAGCGTCGCATTATTATTTTTAGAGCGCTACAAAAGTAAACAACGTTTTAATTGCGGTGCGATTAGGGTTGTGAAGCTTTCCGCTGCATATACGCCGGCGATAGTCGCGTGTTGCGGCTCGGCACTCCCACTCGCAAGCAGCCGCGGCCGGCTCGCGCTCATTCACTTTAGTTGTGAGCCGACTGCCGCGGCGGATGCACGCGACGATTTACGCGCCTCCGATGTTAGTTTACGATTACGACATCGCGTCCAAACTCGGGATTTTGCCGTGACATTGAATTTATCTATCGAATATGGGTTAAACGACCCCATCTACGCAATGAGTCCGGGCGAGCGCGCCGCTCCAGGGCGTCGCGAAGCCCCTCGCCCTCACTATGCTGCCACCGCACCGGGATTCCCGCCACCACCATACTACCCGCCCTACGGTGTGCCACATCCCAATGCATGGCTCGGTGCTCCCCTTATATCCATGGCGAGCCGTACCCCACAACGCGATAACCCCGTATCCAAGCTAGCTATGCACGCTCAGGGGGCACCCCTTATCATACAAAATAGACACGATAGAAGAAAATATACAACCATACCCGAGCAACGCAATCATCGCCCGATGGGGCAAATGGATCATCACACGAAGGATCGTTGCGATGTACCAGAAAATAATAGGTCAAAAAATCAACATGAACACCAACAACAACAACAGCAACAAAATCGATCGTCGAGAAGTGGACGTAACAATAATACGGACGCAGTGAGCATCGCTAGTGATGAAAGCTCTGGCTCGACGAACTCTGAAACAATGTTGCCGAGAATTATAAAGCCGCGAAAGCGACGTAAAAAAGATAGAAAACCTAATAACATAGTACCACATGATTTAACGTCCGTTGCATTGGATCTAGGCGAAGTCGAACACTGTGCAATTACAAATATGGGGTCGACATCGCACAGCGTTTACGAAGAATCTTACTGTAGAGATATATCACTGCCATATCGTTTAGATGTGAAAGTGTTAGACTACCCGGATCCAGCACATGAGACATATCGAGTGTCTGCGTTAGGAGAAGCTTTGGAGGCTACGCGATTTGGATTAGCAGAGGCAGCATCCCCTTCGGAATCTGCCGTCAGTTCGTGCCAGTGTAGATATTGCGATCCTGTCGGACAAATATGGGACGCAGATTCGATAGCTCATTTATTGGATGAAAATTCCAGTGGTGATTTTGCACCCACTAAATTAGAAGATTCAATGAAAGTAGTAGGACCACTAGGCAGACGCGGTGCCGATACGATGTTGAGACGAAGTTGGAGTGACCCTTCAGCGCGGATCCCTGAGAGAAAAGTCAATAACACCGATACACTATCGGCACCAAATCTTTATTCTTTATTCCCACCACCTCGAAGAACTACTTCTCCCGAGCCAAGATCACCCTTGGCTTTGGAAATATCTTCTGAAATTGTTACATCTATGAATGGCCACCGTGATTTGGAAATAAAACTATTTTCGACCTCGCCCTCGGCCTCGACCTCCGAACGTCGTTCTTTCTTTGACGATAAAAGTGAAAGTGGCGTTAACGATAGATGTGCAAACACGAACACTAAGATAAAATTAAATAGTGCAGTGAGCAGTGCAAAAGTTGTGTCAAGTGCAAACAATGACCGAAAAAGTGAAAATTTGGATTCGGGATGCCTAAAGGCACTTGTGGCTGGCGAAAATTCTCGTAACATATGTGATTTAGCCTTAGTTTCTGCCTGAGGTCGTTGTTGGCCATGTTTATAATAATTATAACATTTGCAAGCGTATGATTACCAGTCCAAGGACTACGCTCGCCGTTTGAGCAGGACTCAAATTGTTATAGCGAGGTATAAGCGGAGCGTCTCAACGCGACCCAATGAAATTGAGATCTCCGAATCGGTTTCCTTTAGATTCGATAGTTAATTTATTTTTATTAACATTAGCTTAGGAAACTAAAATGGAACTTTGTCTGGAAACTATACGTTTTATGATTCGCCGTTATGACGTTTTAAATGGAAATAAATTGTGTCATTCAATGACGGATGACATGATATTGGGTGTTGGGTTCTATTCCTATGGGGGAAGGAGATTGCTTTTTATAATTTAAGATGCATATTTAATAAGGGAATGTAGTAATAGCATTATATTGAGCGGCCCTAACCCGTGTGCAATTAGCGTTTCACACTACTGACACGGTTGCACGGATGCGTGCTCGCTATTGCGGTTTCCCGTGATTTCACCGCTCCGTTCCGGGTGGCGCTTCACGGCACCGGTTCATAAGCATTAATAACTTTTTTCATTCCCTCTGTTGGCTCACTGTAATAACCGTTTCGTCTGTATGAGTTACTAAAACCTAGTGCATAACTTATACACATATAGTTTGAAAGCATGAAACGCGAAATTTCATGAATTACCATCTAATTATATTAATTTATTTCGTTAGTGTCTGTTAACTGCACTTTTATAATATGCTATATGCTAGTTTCAGTTTAGGTTTTTGAGTAAAATAATTGAAAAATAATCGATAAGGCAATTTCAACTGTAATAGAATTTTTTCTTGAATGTTAAATATTCATTCTAGTGACTTATTCCTTTATTGCCCCTTCATTTATCAAATTAATATTCATAAATTCACTGTGTAATACAACATTAACATAATATAACATAAACATTACTTTGATATTTTGTAATATTTTTTCTTGACTCCTTCTATATAACCTATCATGCCAGCGCTAATTTTTCATTGACGCAATATTTTTATTAAAAAAAAGTTAAATTATATTTAAATTTTGGAACACTGCCTTATCAAAGAGTCGTATAAGTGTTTCAACATTCTTGAATACATTAAATGCAATGTATGCTTATTTATATATAAAAAACAACGATAAAATATTTTTTAACGTTTACGTTATCAGTGTTTGCTTGAGAAGCTAAAACTATTTGCCCGCTCTTGTTATATCGCTTCTAAGCGAGTAACAATATTTAATTTGTAAAGCGACTTCATCAAAATTAAATTGCTATCATTTTATTATTTTTTACCTTTATACTGCTTTATAAATTCATGGTCAGTTACATAATTTCCTTAAGCACATTTCATATGTTATGCATTAAAACTACAGTCTCCATTGATATAATAAATTATATTATGAAAAGTCAATAATGATAAGACACGTGGTAAGTATTATTCCTTCGCAATATTTTATTTAAGTTGTGAACGGCGAATCAATAATGTTTTAATTTTAAACTATTTTCTCTTTTTTTCTTCCTCGAGGAAGGGTCCAATAGGAACAACAGATAAAGTTCCATGATGTAGATAATGTGAATATAACTAAGTTATTCACGGCTGTACGCCGCCATCGTTGGGTTTTACACACTATAGGCTGTTTATTTACGTTTTTTTTTGTTTTTGTTTTGTGTTAGCTTATTGGCACATGCGTGGGAAGACATGATAAATCGAGTCTTGCCTTATTTTTCTCTTAGATAGGCTCGACGTAGACGCGGAGTTATTACAGTATGTTATCAACAGAAAAATTCTGATTTAATGCGCATTAGTGGGACCCTGTTGATTGCGTTATATATCAAGTTATTATCGCTCAACAAACTCTGAACCGATCGTTGCTATAAAACGTTACGTCCCCCTTCTGTTATCCAAAAGTAAAAGGGTGATAGGCGATTTATTATATTGATAAACAATTTAGTTGTTGAATTTTTTTAAGAGATACATATTTAATGAACCTATTTTACTGTTGGTTTTTTAAAATCTTCGTCCTCAACGTCGAGCCGTTACTTGAGTCGGGATCAATGCACAGCGATAATTGCTGTAAAACTCAACGATACGATAAATATAAATGTAAACAAAATAGGCTATGTCTAACTTACTGAGTGAATGCATTTTATACATAAAAATTATATAGGTTTATTATTTGTTTGTGTACGTCGTGATGCACGAGTTACACGCTTGCACACTATTTTTGTACAATAAAAACCCATCATGCCCTGATAATTTCTGTTGTTTTATTTGATCTCAGTTAATTGAGCACATAACGTGATCACCTACATGTATTATACGATAACCTATGAAATAAGTTCTTATTAATATAAAAAATATATATTTAAACATACTTTATAAAGCGCAAGAGTCACTTTAATCTTTCGTCGTTATTATCCAATACGTAGATGACGTAACTCGTTTTGCGGGTTCTTTAACATTACCTCGGCCTCACAATAACGAGGAACCGATAGTGTTATTACAAATAGACTGAAAATAAAATTCAGAAACGAGTATTGTAAATAGTAGAGCGGTTTACGTAATTTTTACGATACTTTCTATTGTGGTGGAATGGCTTTTGGTTACGCACTGCCTATTGTAGTACTGTTTGCAAAACAAACATTTAAGTGCAGATCACAAACGATATGTTAATAGATTTTCTCTCGAAATAAGTGAAATGGAATTGTAACACGTAATTTGCTAAACACGAATACAAATATTTCACAAATAAACACTTAGAATGAATAAACAAGTTTAAAGTTTGATATTAGATTGTACATATATTATAATATATTTAAAAAAAAATAGAAAATATTTTTTTGTAACTTCCTTATGTTTCATAGTAAATCACTTTTTTTTGATATTTTGATCGTATTTTTTAATGTGATTGATTTGTACGCTTATCAACGACGTTATGAGAATTCCAAAGTCATAATAATTTAGTTGTTATCAGGTTTGTTAAGTTTATTGGAACTGCTTGTCGCAAGGTAAATATATGCACATATTAGTACTTATTAGTTAATTTCACATGTTATTATTAAATGTCAATAAAGGTGACAGATATATAACTAGCAGAACCCGCGGCTCCGCTTGCGCTTAGACTACAAAAATCTCTAAAAAGGTAGGTTTCATACAAACTTTCATCCACTATTTTATCCCCTTAAAGAATGAATTTCGAAAATTGCTAAAACACGTATTTATTTAATTTGATTGAAAAGCATTAATACAAAATTTCAAGTAATTCTGATCATAAATATTTTTTTTGGGTTGCATTATAACGTGTAATCCCGTGGGAATGAGATAATCTCCCGCGGTTAAAAGTAGCCTATGTCACTCCAGCCCGCCAACTATTTCCACACAAAAAAATATGCCAATCCGTCACTCTGTTTGGACGTGAAAGAAGGACAGACAAACAAAGAAACACTTTCACATTTGTAATATTATAGTATGGATATACGGTATACCATCCATGTTAAACCGCTTGGTACTCTATTCTCTTCTTATTCTCCCGCCGCTGATAGGATATGGCAAAAGTTTTACGACCAGCCGCCTGCCTGACGTCAACCCTCCTTGGGAATGCTATTGTCTCTCTTTGTCTGAGTATCGCGGAAGTCTTATAATTATTATGCACTTTCGATTTTGTTGTCTTTAGAAACATTTTTTATATTATTACGTTAATTTTTAATGTTATTTTCGGATATATTGTAAAATAAATTTTGTTTAGACATTGTCAATTTTTTCTAAACATAATACTCTATTTTCTTCTACGCCTAAAATAATGTATCCTGAGCATATGCATATTTGTTTCAAATCTACAATTTAAATATTCAGTAATAATTTTCGGAGTAATGTAAACTACTTTTGTATTGTCTACAAACAATAGTAAAATTTTTCCACATGGGACAAACACCAGAACGAAAGTGTTTGCGGAAGGTTATGCTTATGTTTCTTTGTTTCTGCAAGGACATTTCGGTCAAAGACATGCTATTTGCTTTATAATTTTACTAGCATTGCCCACGGCTCCGCCCGCGTTCAGATGACCAAAAACCAAATTCTTAGGTTTTACATATTAGTATACTCTTACATTGCAATTTTTGTATTTTTCTCAGAAATGAGATATTTTCCCGCGGTAAAAAGTATCCTATATGTTGACCCGGATAACAAACTATCACTATACCAAATTTCATCAAAATCCATCCAGTGGTTTTTCTGTGATGCGGTAACAGACAGACAGACAGACAAAAATTCTAAAAACTATACATTCGGCCTCTGTATCAATAATAATGTTTATTTCAACAAGATTTTCCAAAAAATATTTAATGTACAGATTCGGCTTAGTTACAATTTTATTATATGTATAGATATAGTGGTCATACGAGGTTGAAATTATAGAGGTACCTACCTAAACAAGTATCTTTAAGTTCGTTTATCTACATTGAGGAAGATTTATGAATAATAATGAATGTCATTAATTTTATGCAGCGTACTTTTCTATGGCAAAATAATTACTAAGTATTCAAGCTTAGAATTAATTATTTTCTTTTATATTTAAGAAAAAAGTTCGCATTATTTAAACATTCTTATTATACACACGTGGCTCGTGACGCGAGAAAAAAAATTTGAATATCTACGTATGAAATGTTTTCGGTTTTCTTATCTCGAAAATGAATTTATGTTATGAATTATCATTGAACTTTGGAGCAGGACACATAAATAAACTACGCGAGTGGAGCCGCGGGCAAAAGCTTATAGAAAATAAATTTTAATATCCCACGGAACGAATTGTACTGACCGTACCACATGTTTGTATGGACGATTAAGTTTAAGGCCCAAAACACAGTGTTACGACTCGGAAAGCGGAATATGGATGGACATATCCAATATCTCTCAATATAATATACATACCTACATATGTATATGAGAGAAAGTGAATGAATGTAAATACAAAACTTTTTTTCTTTATTTTAAA